CACCCCCAATGAAAGAACAGAACATTCCAAGCTTCTACTTGTTGTTAAACAAATGTTTAAACAACTCTATTCAATAAAACAGTAATGTTTATTACAGCTCAAAATACGTATACAATAGTCATTAGAAACTTAATATTTTACTAATGTTATGCATGCTTATAAGTTGTAACAATTGATTTAACCTTATAAGTGAAATTATAATTTTAAAAAGATACATATTACATACTTTCAATAATAAGCATTATGGGTTTATGGCTAAGCTCCTAAAAGCAATAAGTCATAGGACTTAATTGGTAGAATAAGCCAAGATAATATTTCAAGCATTTGTCTTTAGGATTACTTTCATTTCTCTATAATATTATATAAATAATAGTTTTATTAATAATATTTTATGTAATAATTTAGTTAAACCACTTACAAAACCATAGCACTCTGAATTTGATGATTTTTTTAAAATTTTATAAAACAGATAATATTTCTTGAACAGCAGCCTTCAAAAAAACAAACAAAAATGGAATTAGCATGTCAGAACTACTTAATGAAACTGAAATAATGTAAATTAAAATGAAAGTCTGTTATTTTGTTTCAGGTATTTGTGTCTATCACAAGGTCTATCTATGTTAGCCATCCCAAATTTTTAACTCATAGACTAGAGGGAAGACAACTAGTCAACTAGAACTGCTTGTTTGTTTGTTTTTTAATTTTGCGCAAAGCTACATGAGGGCTATCTGTGCTAGCCGTCCCTAATTTAGCAAAGTAAGACTACAGGGAAAGCAGCTAGTCATCACCATCCACTGCCATCTCCTGGGCTACTTTTTTACCAATGAATAGTGAGATTGACTGTTACATTATAACGCCCCCAAACTGAAAGGGCGAGCATGTTTGGCGGGATGGGGATTCGACCCCGCAACCCTCAGATTGCGAGTTGAGCGCCCTAACCACATGGCCATGCCGGGCCCAACTGGACCTGTTACCAACTCTTGGGCCACTGTAATCAAACAGTGTGACTTGTTTGTCCATCTTATAGTTCACCTATGGCCCAACAGCGTGGGGCATATTTTTATTACTTTTATTTTTGTGACAATGGGACACAAAATTTATCTTTTCAAAACACTTAGGTTATATGGTCTCTAATTTTTGTCTCTAATAAAATCCACAAATGTATTTGATTAACACCTAACCACATTCCAATAATAATTTCTGTAATGATAATTGGTTTTATTCAAGATAAAATACCAATATTAAATAATGAAAACAGATAAAACTTCACTGGAAAATTTCTCTTTTTTTTTTAAATCTTTTAAAATCTAATAAGTTTTAGGTTCAATAAATCACGAAAAAAACAAAAAATTGTAAATTACTATAATTTTCAAGTTTATCCAACTGGTGAGATTTGGTGATAATAACACAAACTTGTCTGACACATAATATCAAGTTTTTAATGATAGTGTACAGTGTAGAATAACACTCCATCAAAATCTAAAAAAAACAAGATCTTGTTTCTAAACTAATGTAACATAAGATTGATTAAATTGTTAGTATTTAATAACATTTAATGTGACTTGCAAAACCCTCCCATTAAAGAGTAACAATTCTACTAATGTCATTTAATATTTTTCTCCAGATGTTATGTTTTAAATGATTCAAACACAATTATTCCTAAAACCTTCCTAATTATCAAATTTAGACTCATGTTTTTAATGTCACGTGATGAAATATACACGAATCACTCATAAAAAGATTTCTACTCTGTTTCACACATGTAGCTCAAATAAAAAGATTCCAATCTTCCAACCTAAAATTTAAATAAGATTTTGGGTTGTTGTTTATAACTTGAATTTTAAGATAATCAACTACGTATAAGACCTACTTTTCTTTTAATTCCACGAAGTTTCGCATAATATAAAGGTTTCATGAATGGATAATTCAATATATAATATTCTTTATTATTTATAGCAAACAAGAATTAAAAATTACATCTCAGGGTCTTGGCTATAGAAAAGTTTTGAACTATGATGGAGTTTATAGGTTCAGATAGATGCCACAATTAGGTGATGTTTGAGAATTGTTAGTTTAACTGCAGTTTTCAGGAGGTTAAGAAAACAAATACATTCTTTTACAGAGCTGGCTTACTTGAGAATAAATAAAACATATATTTGGGGAAGATTATTGGTCAGATGGGGAAATAACAGGTTAGAAATAGAAGTCAAAGAAGCAAGAAAAAAAATAGACAACCTTTGGGTGAAGACTGCTTTGTGGGATTATTAGAATGAGAGTAATGGGTCTACACGGGTCTATACTACTAAAAATGTTAGAGCTATTGAGGCTGGTCTTGTTGAATTCCAGATACTAGTCTCTACCATATTTGAGTTTTTAGCTGCTTCAGTGAGGAAGGAGATATTCAAGAAGTTTACATGGTGGGGATCTCTCACTAATATAATGACAAAGTTATTTGTAGTGGGAAGCACAGAAAGACTAGGACTAGAAATTGCTTGTTGGCTGCTAAAGTAGAGGACATTTATAACATAGTTATGTGTGTTGAAGGTTTAGTTGATGATGCTTTGTTTGTTTGTTTGTTTGGAATTTTGCACAAAGCTACACGAGGGCTATGTGCGCTAGCCGTACCTAATTTAGCAGTGTAAGACTAGAGAGAAGGTAGCTAGTCATCACCACCCATCGTTAACTCTTGAGCTACTCTTTTACCAACAAATAGTGAGATTGACCGTCACATTATAACGCCCCCACGGCTGAAAGGGCGAGCATGTTTGGTGGGATGGGGATTTGAACCAGCGACCCGCATATTGCGAGTCACGCGCCCTAACCACCTGGCCATGCTGGGCCAGTTGATGATGCAAAGGAACATTTTCGTTTTTATAGTGCAGGTCAGAATAAAAGAAGTTGGGAATTATAAACCAGAAGAGGTGCTTAGAAAGTATAGAAATCTCCAGAAGTTTAGGGATACAAATAGATGTGTGGCTCTTTCAGGGATGCCCTATCAAACTAGATGCAATAATGAATTACTTAGCAGGTCCACAATTTAAGTGAAATAAACACTCTCATCAAAACTAACACTTTACTTTTCATAATTTATCAAAATAAAATAAATATTTTTGTGCGATCTACTTTAAAATACTGCATGTATATTTGTATTTTAATACTCTATCCTCAGACACATTTATACCAGAATAAAAAAAAAACTTACCTGAGAATTACAATAACACCATCAAGAACATTGAAGCCATTGCTAATGTAACCAAACAAGCCATCTGCCACGATCTTGAGCATCATTTCAAGACCAAATATAACACTAAGAATCAAATTACATACTTCCACTGCTAAAGTTAGTTCTTCAGGCTGAAACAGAAAATGTATAAAATTGTAAAGATGACTTTTTCGTCATATCATGCAAGGTATTCATAATATAACAAAACTAATATGGTGGGAAATTATTAATCTAAAGATATCCAAAATTCAAGGTAAAACATACAACTTATTGAAAAATCTCTGATGCTGTTGTAATTATCATTAGGTTTTATTCATAGATTTGACGAAAAGGTTGATTTCATAGAATATATGCAAAGACAATAGTCATACAAGTTTTAACAGGTTAGTACTAACATACAAATGCATCCATCAGTTGTTGTTTAAGATTGATAAAATAGGTAAATTAATATGACGAATTATACACAGAATGTTCTCTATATTCTAATACTTTCTTTCTTTTGCAAGCTTTCGGTCCTCTTACTGTTGCCTTCATCCACCAGTACATTGTTGCTCTATGAAGGCAACAGTAATAGGGCTGAAAGTTCGCAAATATAAGAAAAGTATTTTAACATTGAAAACAGTCCGTGCATAATTCTACATAGGTGTGTATCTCTTAAGAATAACTTATAACTAATCTCCATAAATGAATGGGTTATTTATATTTGTTTATTTAATCTTGTGATATCCATTTCTAGCATTTTCTGATGATTGTAATTATGACATTCCAAATGAATATTACTCAAGCCAGACTCTCTATGAATTAGACCAAGATCTCGGTGACTTATTACATCATATGATGACATTTATTTAAATCTAAATTTGATAATATACTGAATATACACTATTAATTCATTTATTTCAATATTAAACTAATTACTTTATATACAATGATAATCATTAAGAAGATAATTAACAGAATTCTACCGTAACCCGGTAAGAAAATTGTTTACTTTCTTATCACTCGTGAAATTGACAAAAAGTGAACCATCCAATGAAAAGTAAAGAATAATTAATACATAGTTTGATCATTCAACCATGTACAACAATTTGTTACTGCTCTTAGGGTTCAATCTAAATCCTTTATTTTCATATCGAGAAATGATTTTTGCTAAGATATTTATGCATTTGTAATTAATTACCTTGGTTAAAGATTACGTACGTATTTCTGCATTTAAGATACTGTAACACAGAGTTTAGGATTTAAAAAAAAACTGTCATAACTACACATATGTTACGCTATATAATATAGGGTTTAGTGTAAAAACTACAGTAACTACACCCGATACGCCAAGCTATATAATACAGGGTTTAGTGTAAAAACTACAGTAACTATTATTCATATATAAACTACATAATACAGGATTTAATATAAAAACTACAGTAACTATTATTCATATTGTTACGTCTCCGTTTCGTTTATTGATTTTTCCG